GGGGGGGGGGGCCTCAATCCCACTGGATCCATTTATAATTCTTAATCCTATAATGTACCATTTAGACTCAAACTTTAAGGTGTTTTAAAAACTTGCATTAAGTTCTAACAGAATGATTATTTACTTCGGATACATCTCGAAGGTTTTCCTTTAATATGCTTCAATTTCATGAAAATGAGACCGTTCTAAAAATTTCGACATTGAAACTTGCTGCGATCACATACTTTTTCAATCTCACATATTAATTCATAACGTCTGGGCTCCCTTGACAGCTGACATAAACACAAGAATCCAATTGTGATGCCCTCTTTAAAATGTTGCTACTTCGCCAAATTCCCGTTACTCCGACTCCTCAATCTAGACAAGTTTTTCAAGGCGATTAAAACAAAACAAAACCTGCACGTGCAAACTAAAGTTAGCATCTTCAGGCCGTCGCGACAAATCCCTAATGCACAAAGGCAAAGACACCCGCCGCGACTAGACAACCGCACCGTAAGGTCTCATCTGACCACGCGAGCCCCTGGGTGGGAAACCCAGGGCCCCGAGCCCACTGGGAAGCCAGGACCAGCGCGCAGGGTCCGCCCCGGGGCCGAGTGTTCAATGGAACTGGAGAGAATGGGGGCGGGAAGGAGCGGAAGCTCGGGTGCAAACGGCGGCGACCGAGCTGCGGCTCGTCTCTCTTCCCGGGGTTTTCGGGCCAGGGAAAGTCCACCCGGATGGGGGTATAGGGCAGGCCCGGTGATTTTCAAGGCTAGCAGGAGGGCGGCGCGAGGCCCCGGCGGCCGGGAGGGGAGGGCCAGCGGGGCTCAGCCCCCGGCCCCTGAAAGCACTTTCGAGGCGTCTCCCACCCCCCACGACAAGATGGCGACGTGGGCAGCGGGGGAGCCCGGCCGGCGAGGCTGGGGGGAGAGAGGGGAGGGGAGAAGAGGCAGAAACAAAAAGGCGGCCCCCTCCGGAGCGCTGAGGCTGGCCCCCGAGCCCGTGGCGGCGGGCGGACGGGGGGCGCCGGCGGAGAACGCGACGGACGGAGGAAAGGGGCTTACTTTTTCTTGTCGTTCGCGCCGCCGGCGCCCTCCATGGCGAATCGGTCCCCGCGAAGCCTTCACGGCCGGCCGCCCCCAGGCTCGCTCCGGCCTAAGCGCTGGCTCCCTCCACACGCGAGGAGAGAAGGGGAGGCACGTCCAGAGGTGGGAGGTGCAAGGCGGGAACCCCCTCGTAAACCCGGAGGCAGGAGCAGCAGGCGGCAATCGTAAGGGTCCAGGTCCGGCTCAGAAGAGCCTCCCCTCAGGCAGCTTGTCAGGGCCCCGAGCACCGGACGAAACGGCGGCGAGGCCGATCCTCGCGTCCCCTCAGACGAGGCGTCTCTGTGCACTGAGGAGCTGAGGCAGCGGCAGGGGGCGGGCAAGGGCGGAGGCGCGCTCGGGGGCGCGCGGGATGGGGCGGGGGGGAGGAGAATGTCGGGGGCGCGCCCGCCCGCGGAGCCCGGCTCGCGCTCACGCAAGCCCGCCTCACCTGAGGGGGAGGCGGGTTCCCTGAGAGCCAATGGCGAGCGACGCCGGCGGCCAGTCCCACCCCAGCCCACGTCTGTCTCAGCCAATCAGGAAGCGGTCAGCTGAGGCACAGCTGGGAAGCGCTGCCGGGCTCACGTGCTCGTCTGTGTGCAGCTGCGGAGGAAAGAGAAAGGAGCTGGGGTGCGGCCAACCTGGGTCTGGGGACGCTTTGCCTTCTCCTAGGGAAAGCAGTGGCTGGCTTTGGGAGGCGCTGCTGAGAAGGGATTTGGGTCTCAAGGTTGCATCGCGTTTCCTGCTCCCGGTGCAGCAAGTCTTGCGATGTCTTTCTCCTCTGTGGCTGTGCTGTGCAAGGTTGCTGACAGCTGTGCTGAGCCCCAGTTCAACAAAGCAGACTTTTCACGTCGTGGCAGCTCTCTTTCGACCCTTTGCTTATATGTTACAATGGGGTTTTTCTTGCCAGGTTGTCCAACCACGGGGGCCCTGCCACCGAGCGCCCTTTTTGCCATGGAACGCAAGGGTACTCTCCTTGTCCACTAAGTTTTTCTATGAAGAAGTTTGATTACTGAGTAAATGCAAATAAAAATATAAAGCAAACAAACGCCTCATGCTGTAAACTTCTCAAGGGAAGTAGTTAAGGTAGCAGGGAAATCTTAAAATCTGAAATTAAGCATTTACAAATAGGTGTCAGTGGCTTTAATAAAAGCGTAAACCAGAATTTCAGCGCTATGGGAGGAAAATGGCTTTAGGTAGACTTTCTTGTTGTTTGTAAAAGAGCCCACAATAATCTTAGATGGACTGGGAAAAATGGAAGATGACCCTTAGTTTGAGACTCACCACCTTTAATTCACTGTATAGACTGGAAAGAGGAAGGATTCTTCTAACCCCCTGCCCAGACTTGGGCAGCGGACTGCTGAACCGGAATTAACTCGACATGGTGGCGGCCAGTATTGTCTGTTTGCTAACATGACTTTGCAAGCTACTGAATAAAAATCACTTTTTGCCTTTGAAAAAATATATTTCAAACCTGTAAATCTTTTAAACGAAAGAAAAATGTATTTTGAGTTCAACAAAAAATCATTGCGCTTTTATCTCCACTTGATGCTGGATTATTTTACTTCTCATATTTGCCATATTATATTGTTACAATCTAGCTTAGAGTGGTATATTAATGTGGATATCTATATTGGATTCAGTTATATTGTTGTGTAAAAACAATAGTCCATCTAACACAGCGTTAAACTCTGTTAAAAACCGATTCACTAGACCCATAAAGATATAAAGACTGATCTTAATGTTATTTTTTTTTAAGTTTTAGTTCTACATTGCTGAATGATATGTCTTCTTGAAAAATACCATTGGAAAGGCCTGAAAAGAAGAAAGGACCAAAAATATTTACTCATATTTTCTTTCTTAGTTGTGAAAAGAATAGCTCTATAAAACACAAACCTTTTAATTTGACATGCTGAAAACTCAATGTTAAACATACTGATACCAGTCAGGAGTGAGTTTGAAGACAGACTCTGACACTAACAAGTTATTTAATCTCTCAGTGCCTCAGTTTACTCATTTATGTCTATGTCACAGAATTATGGCATAATGGAGATAATACATTTAAAGCACTTAGAATAGTTGCTGGAACACAGTAAGCAATCAATAAATGTTAATATGAGTATTGTTGGTGGGCTTTTAAAAATTATTCTTATTATTTTTGCCCCCAAATTTGTGCTTCTGCTGCTAGTAATTACTTGGGCTTCTGTCACAGTTCAGCTAGTTTTAACTATCCAAGACTGCCTATTATGTTAATATAATCCACAAATATTCTTTCTTTTAAACTTTGGAACTGCCCATGGTGTTACCATCCATGTATATAAGCATGGTGGCAGAGACCCTCAATCAGTTCCTTTCTCATTATACTGCTAAGAAATTCTCGGGGCGCCTGGGTGGCGCAGTCGGTTAAGTGTCCGACTTCAGCCAGGTGACGATCTCGCGCTCCGTGAGTTCGAGCCCCGCGTCGGGCTCTGGGCTGATGGCTCAGAGCCTGGAGCCTGTTTCCGATTCTGTGTCTCCCTCTCTCTCTGCCCCTCCCCCGTTCATGCTCTGTCTCTCTCTGTCCCCAAAATAAATAAACGTTGAAAAAAAATTAAAAAAAAAAAAAAAGAAATTCTCTCTAGCCTGTGATTATAGCCAAAGTGTATAATGTCTGTTACATTTTTAAAAAATGAGCACTTTGTAATAGCAAATTAAGCCATTTATTAAAAACTGAGCATTTCAAATGTTAAAAGCAGAAGGATAATTCAATCAGCAAAAGACATTTTCAGCCTCCATTAAATTTGCCCCAAAGTTCAATTTTCCTTTCCAAAAATGCGTAGAATATGGTATTTCATGGATGTGTGAAAAGTATGTATGTATATATGCTTATACACACACACATACCATGTATGAGCAGTGAAAGCAGTAATATTCAACCAATTTGTTTTCACGTTATTACCAATGAGACAAGTAGTATTCCATAATCCAATCACTGCTATTTAAGTAACAATTTGAAAAAGCAAGGGTTTCTATAGGATAAAATTTTAAGTTATCCTCTTTACAACCACCTATTAGTAAATATATTTATTTTATTAGAATTTAAATAAACCTTAATGAGCAGTCTTATTTATTCACTTTCTAATTTGTGTAAGCAGATTTAAATGTAAAACACTCCGAGGAACTTTCTAAGTAGACTGACAGGTGACTTGCAAATGACTTGATTGACCCTTAACCCATATTAGTAGGAAGCAGGAAGTTAGGCAGTGATTGAGGATGAGGCAAGGTAAAACTTGAAATTTGGATCGCTACTAAATAGAGTATTGAAACTTTTAACGAGTGAAACGTCAGATTCAGATAGTTTAGAATGTATCAAACTATATGGGAAGAACTTGTGGTAAGTGATTCTTGGCTTATTATTACCCTTAGTTCCTCCTGCACCTTTGACCTACTCTAGGAACAATAACCAAAAAAAAAAAAAAAAAAAAAAAAGGAAGGAAGAAAGAAAAGCAGATCATCTGGAAGGAAAGTGCCTAGAAGGTAACAGACATTACAGATCTTTCGTCTTTTTCTTTCAAGGATCAAAACAGAAAATAAATACATTGTTTGAGTTTATGGAAAATAAGAATAGCCTGAAAATTTGCCACTAGCACTTTTTAATTATGATACGGACTTTAAGCATAATTTTACAGAAAAATGCTGAAGGATTTTTAGTTTCTGGTCCAATATGTAAAAAGCTTGGAAGCTTCCATCCTCACAATAAGAAAATAAAGCTGAACAAACTGAAAACCAACAACTCTTTTTAGATCCATCAGAGAATTGAGGTCACTGGGCAGACTGTTGTCCTGAAAACTGAAGAGACAGACAGATGGATATGGAGAATCACAGCTTACCAGAAGATCACAGTTTACCAGGAGCCGAAGCCAGCAGCTGAAGCCAACATGACAGTTGGAGCAAATATCAGTAGGAATACTTTAATTTAATTATAATTGTGGATTGCTGGGGGCTCTATGGGGACCAGCTTTAGCATTTAAAACTCTGAGGCTCACAAAGCATAAGAGACTCTTAAAAACTGAGAACAAACTGAGGGTTGATGGGGGGTGGGAGGGAGGGGAGGGTGGGTGATGGGTATTGAGGAGGGCACCTTTTGGGATGAGCACTGGGTGTTGTATGGAAACCAATTTGACAATAAATTTCATATATTGAAAAAAAATAAAATAAAAAAATAAAACTCTGAGGCTCAGCCTTAGAGGGGTGCCACAACTTTTCTGAGTTTTACTTTCAGGAGCCCTAACAAATTCTCACTGTGATGGTCTGAGAAAACTCTCCTCTTGCTTTCCGTGGGGGAAAGTAACCCTTAAAAATACTCCCAGAGCACTCTGTTCTTTTTAACAAGATCTGCCCTCAAAGGAAACTATTTTGCCAGAGCTCAACTGACCTTGTGGAGGGAAAACACCCAGCTCCAGCCCTAGCTAGCCTTCAACATGGAGGAAGGGAAATACTCAACTCAGACTCACTAAAAGACTGAGAACTAATCAGAGGACTATAGAATGCTTTCCTTCCTCCCACACCTGACCATGCTACCACATCAGTAGGGCTTCTGTGTAATAGTAGGGAACTGCAGCTAAAAGAACAACAAGCCTCAGACCTTATTTAAAGAGTCACTAGGGACATCCAAAGACAACAAGAGAAACAAAAATATGGACACTAGAGGCAATTTTAGCTTCAGACACCACAGCTACAACAAACAATAACACAGCCTAACTCTTAGCCAGATAAACATAAAACTTCATAGTAAAGTTCTGTCTACCTAGCTTTCAACAACATTTGTAAAACATATTAAAAGGCAAAAAAAACAAAAAACAAAAACACCCCACAATCTGAAGCGATAAACCAAACACCAGACACCAGAATAAGACTCCGATATGCCTGAGATTTTGGAATTATCAGACCAGGAATTTAAAATAACTATGATCAATATGCTAAGGGTTGTAATGGAAAAAGCGAACAACATGCAGGAGCAGATGGTGATATAAGCAAAGATATGAAAAAGAAAATGCTAGAAATGAAAAACAATGTAATGGAAATAATGCTTTTGATGGGCCCATCAGTAGACTGGACACAGCTAAGGAAAGAATGAAAATTTGAAAGTATGTCAGTGCAAGCTTCCGAAACTGAAATGCAAAGAAAATGCATTAATGAAAAAGATGGAACAAATTATCCAAGAACTGTGGAACAATGAGAAAAGGTTTAATGGGAATGTCAGAAGGGGAAGAAAGAAAAACGCAAGAAATATTTGAAGAAATAATGACTGAAAAATTTCCAAAGTT